GATAAACATGGGTGCATTATAGCTGCTTTAAAAATGCATAGGTCATCATTTATTTATTTGATTGTCAAAACCACAGAGGCATCTGTACGATGGTGGTTAACTGCTCAAGCTCTGAGCACAGCTGTGTCTGGTAACGACTGTTCATCGTTTTTCTGCAGATGATCTTGCTCTATACTCAAAAGAGGAAACATTCAGAGGCTTCTGGAAGTTTTCCATAACATCCCATGTCAGTTTTAAATGCTATTATACTTCTAGGTAAGAGTGATTCAAAATCTCAGCCCGCTGAAGCTCTAACATTGCTCAAGACAATCAACAACTAGCTTTTTACATAACCTGAAGAAAATGTGAGTGGTTCTTGCTTTTGACGTTGTTATACAGTTGCTAAATTTCTAGGGTGTTTTTACAGTACAGTGTACTTGTGCTATGTACAGTATTAGCAAGGTTTTACTTAGTGAACCAAGTCAAAAGCCAACCCTGAATGTCTATGATTATTGTATTGAGTTTCTATAAAGGTAAGAGCACACCTCTACTCAACAAGCCACATCATTTATGTCCATAGCACAGTAAAAGATTGGGACAAAAAATGTTCACTCAAAAATGAAAATTCTTTAATCATTTATTTAATCATGTAATAACGCCATGTAATTTAAATGCTGTATAAACTTGTCCTTCTTTCCATTAAACACAAAAGGAGAAATTTTAAAATATTTCAATAGATGCTTTTTTCATGCAATGTATGTAGACTGGAGCGTTAAAGCTTCAAAAATTATGTAAAAGTACCATTAAGGTCTAATAATCTCGGTAATCTCGATATTAATCGATTCTCGTTTTTACGGAATGATATCGCTTCTTAAATCCCAAGAATCGATTAGTCAAGCCTGTTTTCAGTTAATGGACGGAACGTTGAAGGGTACTTCCCATCCTATATATCGCAATAAACATTGTGCGTTGGTACTTTTAATATGACACAAAGTCTCAGATTTCAAATTCTGTCCATTGTATTGCAGTATTCAAACAATAAATGCCGTTTTGGCGCTGTTTAATGTGGAGTGACAGATCGCTGTAGCGCATAATTTCAACAGACGCAGCAGCGCGTAGCGCACGTGAATTGATCATCTCCTCCACATTAATACCAGTTTCAGCACAAA